ACACACACACACACACACAGGGAGACAAGCACACAGAGCATCAAAGGTAGGCAGGAGTCATCTATCAACACCAGAAAATTAAAACCTGTAGAGTGTGAGCGCTTGCACAGGCGATCAAACTGACCACATGAGACACATAAAACACAAAAACACATCACAAACATGATAAACGCACACCTTAAAACGTCCTAAAGCGAAAACACAATCTGTTCATTCTCAGATTCACAGAGTGATGATAGCAAACTGGAAGCATTATTCATTCAAAATGACATTATTTGGAGCAATCATTTTTCAAAAATCTGTTTTTTGCCACGCATTGTCACAATTTGCTGTTGACTTTTTAAAATTCAATTTCAAGTTTGACAATGATCAGTACAAAAAAAAAAACATTTTGTCCTCAGTTTTAATGTAAATTATAGAACAATTTAGGTTAAAATTGTAAACATTTGTTGCCTCTGCGTCAACATCACAAACATTTTTTGTACAGTTAGAGTTAGTTTGTAAAACTAACGGTAAAAACTAACATGCAGAAAAATCCAAACTGAATAGAAATTAATGTGCATCTTTACCTAATCAACGATTTGATTGAGTGGGAATGTAGAAAATGAGCAACAATGTTTTACTATGAGGAAAAATCTACAGATTCTAGGAACATGAAAGAATCTAATAGAAAAATCAGTCCTGTCTTAGAAGAAAAAGGACATTAGACTTGGATGAGTGCATATCTTGGATTCACATATCTTGTTTTGAGGTGGTTTTTTCCACTTCAGCACAGACTGAACATGAACGGACGGTCATTCACAGATAAAACACGTCTGCATTGACCTGAACAAGTGTGGATGAGCCGAGTCTGAGCACAAAGTTGTGTTTTCTACATAAGATCATCTAAAACAAATCACACAAACTCCGAAAAAAGGATCCGAAAGTGTGTGTCTGGCTCTGTTTGGATATATTTACTAAGTAAAGACATATTTCTTCCTGTCATTGAAAAAACACTGTTAAAAAGAGAGGACAGGAGTATTTTGTTCTCCTTTCCCTTTTTAATTTTCACCATAGTTTAGATTCGTTCCACATTTGACTGTTTATGTACAATTCAACAGTCATTTACTGCCAGCTTCCATCTATTTGGGGGAGACTTAGAATAAAGCTGCAATGATCCCTTTATCTCCTAGATTTCAGGCTGTATATTTCAAGTTTTATGGGAATGAAAGAAGGATTTTCCAGGTAGAAGATAGGCATCAGTGGCCGCCTAGCGAAATGACCTGAAAATGCAGCCCCACACAGGTAAGTTCGGCTGCTTCACATTTTAATACAGACTTTGACGTTTATATCAAGAGTCATGTACATTCAACGCCCAGTCGTATCCAAATAAAGTGACTGTCCAACAGGTGAAGCGGAGAGAAAGAGATCATTTGTCAGAGAAAACAGAACTTCTGTAAACCTGAGTCGTCTTTTACAGAAGCGCGGTTTAATAATAAACGAACGCAAACGGTGGACGTTGCGTTTTTTTTAGCCTTTTACCTTGTAGCCACATCGGTCCTGGTTTGCTCTCCTACTGCCGGAAATCGTAGATCCACAGGAGAAGTAGAAAAGCAGGAGGAAAGCAAAAGGAGAGGCGAGGAAGCTCCGCGGGGACGCCATGCCTCGTTCAAGTCTGAGCAGCTCTGAGCCCGAGGAGGAGAGAGCAGGAGGAGGCGCGTCCAGGCGCGCGCACGCGTGCGTCTTTACGCGTGCGTCTTTACGCGTGTTTCTGCAGGGACCTGAGAGACGGACAGGTCCTCAAAGGAATAAATAAAGGGCCAGGACGATGCAGACTCTTTGGGATGGATTGTTGGGGAGTTGTTGATGATGTTACAGGCCCCTTATCAAGATTATAAAATCCTTTTTTATCTGTAAATGTCTCCTTGAATAAAGTTTGATATAGAAAATTCAGGGTTCTTGCTCACAAACCCAATGAATACAGCTGAGGACAAAATTGGTAGACTCAAATAAACTATCATCATTTAATAATCTAAAAAATCTCTTTAGACTCGTGGAAAATGTTGAAGGCATTACTGAGTTATTTTAAACCTCATTTACATCGATCACATGTACAGTTTTTGCAGGTTTGCCCACTTACAAAGAATGCTTATTTTTCCTCATCAGATGGTTATCAATTTTTATAAATTCATATGATGTGATTTTCTGGAATTTTCTTTGGGATTCTGTCTTTCACTGTTAGAATGTACATATGATTAAAGTTATAGATCGTTGCATTCTTTGTAAGTGGGCAAACCTGCAAAATCAGCAAGGGGTCAAATACTTATTTCCACCACTGTATCTGCTCTCCTTACTTAAATATTCATAAGGCTCGATAGGCAAAAGGTTTCTTATGAAGTCACTTTAAAACCTCCAGTACTCCATTAAAATGAAACTTTACTAAGTTATTGATTGCAGTTTTACACAATGTTGTGGCAGAATTGAACATAAAAAAAGATCCACACATCTTTGCATCTTTGTACTTTTTGTGTAGTTGTGATAAAGTTTTACTCTTTTAGGGACTTTATTGACCTGTGGTTACCTGAAAATATTCAATCATTTTCAGCCACCTTTTGAAGCTGTTTGGCTTGTATTCTGTCATGATTCTGTTCTCCTATGAAGTAGCAAATATCTGCAGTTATTTATTCATCTAAATAAACACATCAATGAACCAACTTCAATAACTGATTTTTGTTTTTTTTCTCAGTGGACGTGCGTTTCTTGTGGAGATTTTTTTTTTTTTTTACCAAGGAACAATTTCTATTCCAGCCAATAAATCATCAGATTTTAAATCTGTCACACCCAACTAACTGACTAAGTTGTTTTTGTTTTAAGCAAGTCTCTCCATGGACAATGTATGCCTTCAATCTTTGCATTACTGAAGCATATTAACGGATTTAAATAGTTGAGATGTAATTCTACACTGTGGGCGTCCCACAGTCGTACAGGATACGCCCTCTTGTGGCAAAGGTTTGCAGACGTATATGTGCAGGGAAAAAGCTAGAATCAGCATCTAGAATTAACATATTTAACAGGCTCTTCAGGATGAACATCTCTTGATATCTTTGTGTTTTACACTTCTTTTCAGAAAGACTGTTATTATCCACTGAGATTCCCTAAATACAGTTCTTCTACACGATAATAATCATGACATCAGCAGGAAATAAAGGTGTATGGGTCCGATCCTCAACCACTCTGTTACACAGAGCTGCTGTTATTTCATCCAGTGGCTGTGGACGGTTCCACAGGTCAATAAAAAATAAACCATTCAACAGAAATACGGCATTCTGGAAATCAGCTGTGATGATGTAAGAGGTTCTAATGCCATTCCAGAACCTCCAAAACAAGTCCGGAGCTCCAACAGCCAAACGTCCCCAGCAGCCTCCCCCCAAAACAGGAGAAGAATGAGCCAGCTGGGAAAAGATCCGTGCCTGCCGACCGCCGACGGGGCCGAAATGGAAACGAAGACCAAAGACAGCGCCTTTTCCGTCATGGCCGAGCTCTTCATGGAGGAGAAGCTGTGCGACGTGGTGATCAGGGTGGGCGACGCCAAATTCCACGCTCATAAAATCGTCCTGTGCAGCTGCAGCTCCTACTTCCGGTGAGTGGTCAAAGGTCAAAGGTTATTTGGGAGGCACTGGTGAACAGAGGGGAGAACTGCAGGTGACAGGCTTTTGAATGGAGGCGACTCATTCAATTCAATTCAATTTTATTTATATAGCGCCACATCACAACAACAGTTGTCTCACAGCGCTTTCCAAACAGAGCAGGTCAGACCCTACTCTGAAGTTAAATACAGAAACCCAACAATTCCCACCATGAGCAAGCACCAGGTGACACAGGCAAGGAAAAACTTCCTTTTAACAGGCAGAAACCTTGAGCAGAACCATGGCTCAGGGTGGGTGGCCATCTGCCTCGGCCGGTTGGGGGTGAGGGAAAGAGAGGGCGAGAGAAGGAACTGAGTCTTACATTTGACAAAAAACAAAAGAAAACAAACAAACATGTATTGGCACTAAATGTGATGTCCAGACAGACTTTGTGGGATGTAATACCAGACCTTCATCATTGCTCAACTACCAGTGACCCAAACTATGCTTAGATTCTATGACAGGCTTCCACTTATTTACATCAGTTCACAGTTCATGGCTCAAAATCTTGATCCCTCAGCACACTCTTCACGGGCGCCTGGGCGACCTCGGAAAAGGAGACGTACACTATCCCCGGGGTGTTGCCGGAGATGATGCACCTCATCATCAACTTCGCCTACACCCACGCTGTTGTCGTGACAGAAGATAACGTGGTGGACGTTTTGGAGGCGGCCGACCAGTTCTTGGTCCCCGGGATGATTCAGGCCTGCTGCCTCTTCCTGGAGGACCGGATAAGTCTGAGGAACTGCATCAGCGTCTGGAAGCTTGTCAACTTCTACCACTGTCCGGAATTCAGGCACAGGGTGTTCATGTACATTCTGCACAACTTCGAGGAGGTGGTCTCCATCTCGCAGGAGTTCCTGGACCTCTCCGAGCATCAGCTGGCGGTTCTAATTGAGAGCGACCACCTCAATGTGAAAGGAGAGAATTCGGTGTTTGACGTTGTCTTTAGGTGGATTAACCACCAGCCCAACCAAAGAAAATGCCACCTCTATATGCTATTGGGCAAGGTAACTAAACAACTACTTAACCACATCTATACTCACCCAAATGCACTTCTGATGGGGGGAAATTGGGCCAAAGGGCCGCAAGCTTTTCGGACTGTAACTAATCTCTTCACTTGTCCAGGTGCGTTTAGGCTTGTTGACCGCGGACGACCTGAAGAGCAAGGTGTTAAACAATATCATGATAAACAGAAACGTGAGATGTATGTCCGTCATCAACGACGCAGTGGACGCTTACATAGATTTCCACAGCAAAAAGCTCAAAAACGGTTGTGCCTCCAGCAGCCCGATGAGCCGCCCCCGCCTGCCCCCCGTGAATCTGCTGGTCACCGGAGGGGAGAGCGGCGCCACCGAGGCCGGCAGCTTTGAGCTGTACGACGTCCGGTCCGACCTCTGGGCCGATCTGGGCACCGGCGCCTCGCTCTCTCATCACGGTGCCGCCGTCCTGGCCGGCTTCGTGTACGTAGTGGGTGGCGGCAAGCAGGGAGTGCTCTTGAACACTGTGCAAAGGTTCCACTTCATCACCTCCACCTGGCAGAGCGTGGCCCCCATGCTAAGCGCCCGCTGCTACGTCGGTGTTGCCGTGCTGGACGGGCTGATTTATGCCATCGGGGGCTACGATGGACATTCCTACCTTAACTCTGCCGAGTGCTACGACCCTGAGACGGACTGTTGGACCATGATTGAGTCTATGAATTCAAGGAGATGTGGGGCCAGCGCAGCCACTCTGCATGGAAAGGTACGCTGACTTTTTGGGGGGTTATTTTTGGTTATGTTTGTTGAGGTATGTAGTTTTTTTTTCTGTAATCCAACAGTCTGAGAATCTGTACCATACTTCCTACCGGTTCCTGATGGTGTTGTCCTCAATCTACCTATTGCGACCTCTAAGTCAGTCAGGCATGGAAAAGACCCATAACTAAAAGGATGAGCCAGATTTAGACAGCTAGTTAGATAACAAGAAATGCTTTGTTTCTAGCAACGTGCTAATTGTTCCCATTTATTGAAGGGTGAAAAATGCCAAAGATGACACAGTTTGAGAGACAGAAAATAGGATTTTTGCATATAGCTATAGCTATAAGCTGAAAACTAAAATATTTAAGGAAATTGGACAAGATGAGGCCAAATGAAGAAGTATTGGGCCTGAAAAACAATCCATAGCAGATAAAGAGGATCTGAAAGTGATTAAGAAAGAGGGAAAATCCAGCAGAAACCTAAGAGCTGCATCAGGACCTGCAGCTGATCCAGCTCCTGTTGGCCCAAGCCTTATCAGAAATGCTCCCCATGGAAGGGCGGCTACCAAGAAGCCATTCTTAAGGAAGCCAAGAGCAAACATCCAAAAAAGAGCTTCAGGATGTCCTTCAAGAAGCCTTGAGATCTATTCCTGAAGGCTTCTTTAAGAAAGAACACAGTGCTGGTCTCAGAGGGTTCAGACTATATGTTGGAGAAAACAGGATCTCAAACTAAAAATGACATTTATAGTTTTTTGGAAATGTTCAAAATCTGGTATCACATTCATGGCTGTTGTGTAAGTGTTTTTGAACATGTTTAATGCACAGTTCCAGAAATGAGAGGGGACTCAATGCTGTTGCAGAGTACTGTCTGCCACAGTCAAGCCAAAGCTGTGCAGTTGAGAAATGGACTATATTCTATATCCCTGTGACACAAGTGTGTTTAGTTGGATACAGGAGCTTTTTCTGAAATGAAGGAAGCGTTGAACGAACTGCTCTACAGCTTAGGGCTCAGCACCAGACTTCCTTGTGTGTCAGTGGGTCAGGAAATGTAGTGAAACTGTGTTCTTTTTAACTTAACCACAATATTTCCTAAAAGCAACACAGAATGTGCGTTGCCTAGTCAGACAGGGAGTAACTGAATCAAACTAGTCACGCTCTGGGTTGTTAAGACTAAAGACCTTAGAACACCTCTTCTCTACCCTCTCATGGGATCAATCTTTAATTGATTTATGACTAGAAACAACAGAACACTTCCCTTTCGTGTCTGAATTGGATATTATCTTTAAATTAAATGGCCTCTTGAGTCTCAGATGGGACATGTGCTTTGACCTAAAAGCAGGCCTTGGGAATTTGCAATGGGTCGGGGGGGGATATGACAGGATACTGGGTATTTTCCAAAAGGCCTTTGAAATACTCTTAGACCATTTGAGGCAAGATCTCTTAATCTATGTTAATACTGATTTTTTAATGTAGTTTTGCTATTCCCAAAAAAGCTATGAAGGAAACTGAAAACTCTGTCCTGTAATCACAGACTTTAATAAAGACAGAAGAATCTTTTTGAGATATGTGACAGTAGTGAAAAGTACTGAAAACTTTTTCTTTTAAATCTGATAACTGTCTCTATACTCAGGATTTTTTTTTCAGTATTACACTGAATTTCTATGAACTGATCAAAAATCTAAAATTCATTGTGGTGAACAAATGAATGAAAATGAATGGGATTAAACATATAGCCTGTACAATTTTAGCCATGCATGAGTTTTCCCTCAAAAAGCACAAACTAACATGTGAAAGCTAAGAACTATGTGACAGATTTTAATTTTGGAGCATCCAAAATAAATGAGGCCTCCACAATAAACCAACATGTCTGCATCTCTGTCTGTAGGTGTACGTTTGTGGGGGTTTTAATGGACACCGCATCCTCGCCTCAGCTGAATGTTTTGATCCGGAAACCAACCTGTGGACCCGGATCTTCCCGATGACGTCCTGCCGAAGCGGCCTGGGCGCCGTGGCCTATAAAGGCCGAATCTTTGCCGTAAGTTTAAAATATTATTGAAACACAGTCTGTCAGTGGCTACAGAAAGAGACTATTTAGTTGGAAAAGAAACGGCATTGAGATAAAGATAGTTTGAGACCCTTTGGATTCTGTCACATCAACAGCTTTAAATGAAAATGTTTATAATCAAGCGAAAATGTTCAAATCTGGAGGCTAAAATGTTTTAAGATGATGGATATTGGTTGAAATAAAAAATCAAAATATCAAAATCTATTTTAAAGTATCTAACAGACACTGACTTCAGAACAAATAATGTGAATTGAAATGTTTTTTAAATTTTTATTTCAAACATATTTTATCTGGTGCATCAGTTTCTTCATGGTCTCTTGTGTAGCTTGATATTTTTTGTTATGATGTATCACTTCTTCAAGTTAAATATGTGTAGTTAAATATTTGAGGGTTTGTGCAAAACCAGTCTATTAGTTAATTAGCATTAGCTTTATTCTGTTTCTGTTGTTTTTATTTTTTGGTGTCATTCAGTTGACAATGTGATAACATCTTTCCAATTCTAGCTGGAACCACATCCCCAAAAATAATGTGTTCAATTTATAATGTAATTAAACTTTGGGCTAACCTCATTAAAAGACGCCGTTGTGACATTTAAAAAGCATTAAATGAAATTCACTAAATCTCCCAAATTCAAATCGATTAAAGCGATTATTTACTGGAGTACTCTTCCTGCAAAAGGGAGACAGAAAACAACACAACATCAAAATTAATCAGAGATCAAATACGATATGAGAATGAATTAAACATGTAGATCAAAGTTAGGTAACGAAAGTGTAAATAGTAAAAGTCATTATATAACAAGTGAAACTCTGCACGTAGGCTATACATAACTGTGTGTTGACCTGGTTATGAGACTGAACAGCCTGGGAGAAAAGCTGCTCAGGCATCTGGTTGTTCCTGCTTTGAATGATCTGAGAAGTTTGCCCGAAGGCTCCAGTTCAAACAAGAGTTTGACAGCATGGTTTTGGCTTCCTGAAGAGAGTCTATAATAATGTTTGTGCTGTGTTAATCATCTCTGTCTGAGCAGCTTTGCAATTCAGCATGTTACCAGTTTATCCAAATGTCTTCTCAAATTAAATGATTAAAACAAGGAAAATTTTGGTTTTAAAAAGTGGGGTTGGAGTACTTTTCCTTTCTCCTAAAAGAGTTGACAAATACCTGATTTCTGTGTTAGGTCGGAGGCATTCAGAATGGCAACACTCGTCTTTGCACGGCGGAGGCCTTCAACCCAAACACCAACAGGTGGTGCAGAGTGCCCTCCATGTTCAACTGCCGCAGCAACTTTGGCATCCAGGTAGTGGAGGAGCAGCTGTTTGTGGTCGGGGGAGAGGATGGTTTCGGCACCATGTCGGCCGTGGAGTGCTACGACGAGGAGGCCGGCGTGTGGATTCGCGTCTCTGGGATGGAGACCCCCCGCAGCGGCCTGAGCTGCTGCCTGGTGCACGGACTCCAGAACATGGCAGAACTGTTGTTCCCCCGCGAAGGAAGATCTTTATGACCTCCTCTCCCCTCCCCACTACATTTCCAAAATGTTTACGACTTGGCGTTTTGAATAAACATCTGTTCGCATTTCAATGGAAGATTCCTTTTACTGTTCCAAATGATCCCACTGTGTATTACATGTTTTTCATTGCTATTCAAGGTGTTGTTACTAGACAAATACCTCTATCTTGTATTCATTTTAACTGCTGCCATGAATTTTAAAAATGTGTTACACTTTTGGCAAAGATAAAAAGAATAAATGATAAAAATTAGAAAATATGTTGCATTAAAATAAAATATTAACAAATGTTTATAACATTTGTTTATGACCTACTGGAATAGAATCTTTTAAAATATTGCTTAGTTATTAAAGCAGTTCAACTTTATATAATGTGTTTTTTAATCTAAGATGGAGAGTTCAGATATACATTAGATATACACACATAATAAGAAGGTGGAAAGTTGCTTTAAATTCAATTGTAAGATTTTTAAACTCGCGGTAAGCCAATTATAACGCTAGATATGAGCAGTGAAAGCCAAAAAATCACCACAAGAAAAATAGGGATATGGATCGCCATTCTGGCTCTTTTTTGTGTAAGATAACAGTATTACAAAGGGCGTTATTGGACCCAAAATGTCACCTATCACCATTTAAATAAGAAGCCAATCGAATTCCTGTAAGATTATTTTGTCCAATCAAAATCAAGTCGTCAGGCGGGGCTTGTTGAATCGGGAGGAGCTGTTTTGGGGTGTTGTAAATTCGTGTATCCAAGAAATCTTGAGTGGGAATTGTCTGGCCGATTTGTTGAGGGTTTTGTCCGTCCATTTCCTCCGACATTTACACACGCCATCCGCAGCCATGCCCGGGATTGAGAAGCTACCGTTGGAGGAGACGTTGGAGGACAGCCCGCAGGTAACGAACCACCTCCCCGGAGCCCTCAGTAGCATGCTAGCGCTAGCTAGCTACATATTTAGCTAGGCTAACTGTCTTTCTAAGCTAATGTTTGCCAACATCCAGCTGCAGACAGAGGCTGAGTTTTAGCTGCTCGCTCGTCTCTTACGGCCCTTTTAACCTCAGCTGTCAGTGGGGAGTCTCAGTCGGGAAACTTCAGCTGCTCCGTGGCATCATAAAGTGACGGATGGACGGGTCAGCTGGGCGAAGTTTCCGCCAAGCCGCTTTGTCAACATTATCAGACGGCGCACATCATTCAGCGTTTCTTTGTATGTGAATAAGTTGTTAGCCGTTTCTTCCGTAGCGTCTTAGCTAGTCGGTCCCCCCTCCTTTTAGGGAGGGCGGCAGACCTTTTGGCCGTCCTGGTGCCAGATGTTGGCGGTACATTTCGCTCAGAGTTAGAGGCGGAGGCGCTTTAGCTCCAGATGTGGAGACATCCCGGTTGGTGGTGCGAATCCTGGACGCAACACCTGCAGTGACGTCACGCACTGGGGTGTGGCCTGAAAGGGCACCACAACATATTTTTTTTAATTCAAATTTATTCGCAGATTTTCCAAATGACTTCCCCTCCCAGTCTTGTCTCTTTACTGCAAAATGTTTTTCTTTTTTTTAATAAAACAAAAAATAAAACAAATAAAACATAACAACAGAGGTTAAGCTAACATATTTATTCATGGGTTTGTCCAATTGGCATTCAGTGCAAAGTAAGAAACATTTTCCAAACAACATAATCAGTTCAAGTTTGAATTAATATTTATACCATGCGGACATTATTTCAGTATCACCTCAAACAGGGTTGGAACACCCTGACACTGATCTCAGGGACCCAGATTAACTTTTTCATTTGTTTCATGGTAAGTGAAGTTTAGAAATATGACTACCAAAAGACACTGTTTAGTTGCCATAAACCTTCGTCACACTTTACTGTGAGTGAAGCTGATTGCTGTAACTGTCCAACATCACATAAAGATAAAGCTGTGTTGGAGTGAAGTGAGTGTTTCTTCAAATAAAACAAGATTAAACTTTACAAGGTAACGAAATGCAGTTTAGCCCCTGATCAGAAGGGCAAAGAGCAGCAAATGTGGTGTAAACAGTAAACGCAGTTAGGGCCGTCAAAGGTGAGAATAAATGGGCATTTTTACATTGTTTGTACACATTACTCGACATGATATATATAAGTGAAATATACTGTATAGCTGTACATGTTTAATACAGACGGTACAGTCCTATACAGTAATATAAAGACATGATATTACATGTGTGTGTGTACTTGAATATATATAAACAAAGGCCTTTGTAGGAGTGCATATTAGATTAATGCTATAAACAATGTAGATTGGATAGAGTATATTTACGTACTGTGCTGTGAACATCATTTTGCGTCTTTTAACAGAAACAATAGTAATTACATTGTTGTAGTGTAGCTTTTTCTTTAAGAATCAATCAATTCTTGTTTGACATTTTAGTTTTTAATGTACCCAGTGAGCTCTGGTTTGATTTGCTGACACCATGGTGGACTTTGCATTGTCCTTTAAGTTTAAGCGTGTATACATGAAGAAGCACAGCACCTCAAATCTTTCATCTTTATTAACTCTTGACACCTGGAAAGAGTTTATTTTGGTCCGCTTCTGGATGCGTGCGGACCCATTTCCAAATTACTTATCTTTCCTCACAGTGACATAAACCCATAGCAAATTTACGAGCTTGCTTAACTACAAAACAGACAGGTGATGTCAGGAAATGCTTTTCAGACACACCTTGAGTGCACAGTTAAGCTGCAGCTGCAGGTTACAGGTGTGGATTTGAATAGATAGTGGGTGAGGTTTTTGCCAGTTACAGTAGAACCTCCTCATACTAGTTTAATTAGTTCGAGGACCTACTTCATATGTTAAAATATTCGTATGTTGGTTCAAATATTTCCATTAGAATACACTGTAATTCCTGTTATTTGTTCCACAGCCAAAAAACCTACGATTGCTCCTTAATAGCAATAAAACAAATGCATTATATGAGAGAGACATACAAAGAAATAAATTATAAAGAGGTAATCAATAAAAAGGGTTTTTTATTGGCACTTTACCTCAGAGACAGGTGTACGGAGGTAGAGGTGGAGACTGAGATGTAAGACGTACTGTAACTTACTCTAACTTTCACTACGTAAACTTTAAACTAACTTAACATATTTATTTTTACTTGATTTTTATATTTTATGGGTTTTTTTTCTATGACTCCAACATCATATGTTGAATATTTACTTCGGTTGTTGAATATTTGTGTGTTTAGGTGTGGATTTGAATAGATAGTGGGTGAGGTTTTTGCTAGTTACAGTAGAACCTCTTCATACGAATATAATTTGTTCTAACTTAGCTTATTTATTTTAATTACATTTTTAGATTTTATGTTTTTTTTCCCTAATATTTCAATGTCATACGTTGGAAATTTACTTCGAATATTTATATGTTTAGGTGAACCTCAGTAGAGATTCTGCAGTAAATTAAAGGTCACCTCAGCCCTGTATGTGACATTTAACTAAACGTTGAGATGATTACCTCCGACTTGTTTCCCACCTGCAGACGCGATCTCTGCTGGGAGTGTTCGAAGAAGACACGGCAGCCATCTCCAACTACTGCACACAGCTGTACCAGGCCATGCAGAGGATTTATGACGCCCAGGTACACACCCGCACACACACGGGGGACAGAAACGGACGATGGCTGATGGGATTTGCGTCTTCAGTTTATCCGGGCGGCTGTTTTGTGTTTCAGAATGAGCTGAGTGCTGCCACACACCTGACGTCCCGGTTGCTGAAAGAGTACGACAAACAGGTAGACGGCTTCTTAGTTTACACCAAGCCTGAGGCCCGAGCCACCCTGTTTTTACTCCGTACGTGATAACAAATACGGTGTGTTTGTAGTCGGTGTCTCGTCACAGCCACCACATATAAAGCACTCTGGTGACTTCCATTCGTAAATGAAAACTGTTTAACTCACTCTCCGCCCAGGTTAGCTGTCATAAGCCATTCCAGCTTAAAAACTTTATAATGCTCATTTCCCCAGTTGATCATCGGCTGTCTTTTGTTGTCAAAGAAGAAGAAGAGGACCATTTGGTCCTTTACATTAGGCTTGTTTGGTTCGTTTTGCACTTTTTATTTAATATTACCCAGACAACTTGTTTCTTTTTAATTGAATTCCGCTTATTTTTCATCACTGTAATCATTTTGAAAGTATTATAAATTCTCCACCAGGCAATGAATCACCATTTGTCTCCTTTCAGTTTGTTTTAAAACATCCACAATCCATTCGTCCAGTGAAACATAGTAGCACCTGAATTAATTTTTGCCTAAATAAGTTTTCCCGCACTTTGGATTTAGCTTCCCATTTTCTGACTTCTGACGTTCAGATTTGGGTAAAATTGCTTCTCTATTAAAATTAAAGGGACTAGTAGCCTTGATAACACACCATACAGTAAAATTAACTTTTTCTGGCCTTATCAGACTGAACCCTTAAACATGAGCCACTAAAACGTCAGCCCTTTAAAGCCCCCCGTCAGACTTATCACCACAGCTTTTAGCCGGGTAACAAAAGCCCCCAGCCTTTTCTGTTGCCTCTCACACATCTGCCACCAAACTTCTTTACTTTTAGAAACCGACCGGCGTAAATCTGCATTGATTTTATGGTGAGATCAACCCAGTTCCCCCTCACATGGATATGTTTTCCTCACAGGACTCAAAGTGACCCATTTATTCTGTGTGATTGCTGTTCTCCTCCGCAGCGTTTTCCTCTGGGGGGGGACGACGAGGTGATGAGCTCCACACTGCAGCAGTTTGCCAAAGTCATCGATGAGGTGAGAATATGACGAGAGGCACTAATTTAGAGACTGCTGTCAGGAACACGTTGCTTTACCCCTCTAGCATAATTCCTCTTCTTTAATTTGCCTTTACTGCATGACTATAGCAAATATTTTCCAGAAGACATTCATTTGTGACATTTTTTAAAAACTGTAAGTCAGCCTGAAAAGACAAAGTCTTGTAGAAATGGATTCATTTGTAAATAATAAATAACGATATCCATTGAAAATAATTAATTATACTGTTTATAACGTAACATAAATATTTTCATTAACAATTTATTTATCTCAACCATTTTGATCAGATTCCCCTTTAGGAATTAGTCTAATATTCAGATTTAAAGTTGATAGCAACACTCTTTTTTTAAGATTTATTTTTAGACTCAATATCTATATTTTTTTGTTGTCTGTGATTTATCTAAACTTTTCTTCTTTTTCTCTCTAGTTGAGTTCCTGCCACGCTGTCTTGTCCACACAGCTCGCAGACGCCATGATGTTTCCCATCACCCAATTTAAAGAGAGAGACCTGAAGGGTAACATGTTTTTCCTTTACTTTTTAGACAGTGCACGTGTGAGAAAAACATTCAGAAATCAACCCTCTGAAACCGCCTCGGCTCGTCCGATCACACGACCCATTAAAGCTGAAGAGGTCAGACGCAGCATTGCTGAGACTTTCTTTAAAAAAACAGACTTATGATCAGTATGAATGTTGTTGTCAGGTTTAGTGAAACAATTAAAAAAGGTGCTGTTATTGAGGTTGGTCCTTAAGTTGGGCCTTATGATAGAGCCTGAAGATGGGCTTCAGGTTTGGCTCCTCCTCCAGATGGAAACGCACTCATGTTCTGATCAAAATGCTCTTTTTTTTTCACACAGAAAAACTGAAGTAGAAAATCCTTTGTCATGTTTTCTTTTTTGTTCCAATTCCAGAGATCCTTACCTTAAAAGAAGTCTTCCAGATAGCCAGTGATGGTAAGTTTGTCCTTTCTGACACATCTGCTCTGCTATGTGTTGATACAGGCTGATTAACCCTCTATTTCTGACTCAAGCTGCAGTAATAATAAAAAAAAAAGGGCCCAAATTACTATGACATGCTTGTGAGGAGCAGAATTTTAAATTCTGTTCTGAATTTAGCAGGAAGATAATTAAGCTAAAGCCAAAGAGATAAGACCTATATGTTGTGATCAATGATCAATTAATGATAATGATATTGATGTTGTTGATCTTTGTTTTATGGAGGACAAGAAAAGAATTGATGTGTGTATTTTTAATTGGATAAAGTCAGATAATCTCGAGTTGTATCAACTTCTTGGAGCTAAATGGAGGATTTCGCCTTTATTTTTTGGTTGGCGTTGTAGTTTTTTGTCCTGATGTGATTAAAGCAGCTCTGTTATTTATTTGTCTGCAGATCACGACACAGCCATTAACAGATACAGCCGTCTGTCCAAGAGGAGAGAAAATGACAAGGTAACGAGCCATGGAAAAGTCATGGCTGCTGTTCTTAGTAAAGTTTCCTTCATAAAACTAAGATTTTTATCATTTCCTTTTTCTCAATTTTTTCCAAAGTGAACTTTTACTGGTTTGATTTGACCTGATAAGACACGTTTTTTTCTCTTTTTTTTTCTTAATTGATTCTACTGACTTAGAGTTTTTCTTTTTTTTTAAATATTGTAATATTATTAGGGTATAGGCTTTTTGTTTAAACAGAACTGCAGGATCTTAGCTCATTTACAGTATTTCATGTTTGTGTGAGAGTCGATCTGTGCACAATGATCACTTCAAAAACTCTTCCATAAGTTCTCCCGGTCTCATGTTTCCTGAAAGCCTTAAGCAAATTCTGTTAAGCTGCTTCCTACTGAAGTACACAATTGAGTTTGTTTGACGCAGGTGAGGGCGGAGGTGGTGGAGGACGTCTACACCTCCCGCAAGAAGCAGCACCAGACCATGATGCACTACTTCTGCTCGCTCAACATGCTGCAGTACAAGAAGAAGACGGCTCTGCTGGAGCCGCTGCTCGGCTACATGCAGGCTCAGGTGCACACACACACACACACACACACACACACACACACACACACACAC